CAGAGCTCTGGTTGGTTCCTTCTTCCATGGCAGACCTTCACTCCCTTTTATCCGTTCTCACCTGGAAAAGATAGGCTTCACAGACTTCTCAGTCACACTGCTAGATGAAACCCATGTGCTGCTTCATTTCACCAAGGACGAGGACTTCTTAAGGTGCTTCAAAAGATATGAATGGAAACTTGGAAGCTTTGAAATGAAGTTGTCAAAATGGACACCAAATTTTGATCACAGGTACGAATCCCCTTTCCTTCCAATTTGGGTGGCTATAAAAAACCTACCTATTCACCTACATGATAGAAAATCCTTGCTAGACATAGCCCAGGTGTTTGGAAAGCCCATAAAATTGGATGCCACCACCGAAAATTTTGGACGCCCATCTCTTGCTAGAGTGTGTGTTGAGGTTGATATCTCACAACCACAAATAACCAAGTTCTGTGTCCAAAATGGAGAAATCCCATTAATTCTCTCTGTATACTATGAAAATGTTCCTCATTTCTGCCATGAATGCAGAGGTGTTGGAAGACACAATCGTGGTTGCAAATTTTGCACCCCCCAGCACAAAAAAACCCAGCTCCTAATCCTGCCCGGAATACCTTGCCGGAATCAAAACCTGCTGAGAGATTCCACTACAAGGCCATCAACAAAGGGCCAACTGAGAACTTCCACAAGGGCCCCATCCAGAACCCCACTCCAAAAAACACCACACACTATATCCAACCCACTACAGAACAAGCCTCTACCTCCCAAAACATCAGCCTGATCCCTCTTATCCCCACCCAAGAAGCCACTCCCATTCAAGCTACAAACCAAAACACTACAAAACAAACACCTGACCCCCCACCCCCAACACAAACTCAAATCCCACAGTCAGTAAATTCCCCTACCATTTTACCCACACCTGTTGAACCAGATAAAGATGCTGACCTGCTTTTTCATGATTTCATCTTCAAAGAATGCATCTCAATCTGGGACAAACACCAACCTAAAATCATAGCAATACCACAACCAGTCACAACCCTTCTGGATACCAACCAATCGCAGGATGATCTGGACATACCACTCTCTGCCCAAAACAATGTCCATTTCCTTTCTGATGAAGAGCAGACTTCTGAGAATAAAAACACCACCCACAAATTGCAGCTCCCTAAACACCCATTTAACCAACCCCTTTCTGCAGATCACACCTCCAGCAAAGCACCTCCCTCCTCCATCAGAAAATCAAAAAGGCTACAGGACAAATCCTCCTCAAACAGTTCACCCCCCACCCCTTCACAATGAATTGCATCTTCTGGAATGCATGTGGTGTAGCCCCAAAATCCCAAAGGCTAGCACTGCTAATCAAACAACACAAAATACATATAATTACAATCCTTGAACCCAAAGCCAAGTCAACCAAACTCCAACATTACCAACTACTTTTTGGCTTCACTCACTCAATCTTCTCTCGAGAGAACAGAATGTGGATCATGTGGTCTGATAGCCATTTGCATCACATCTCTCATATTCACCTGGACCAAATCACCAACATTAATTTCATTATAAAACAAAACAACACACCCATCCTCCACTCATCAGTTTATGGCAAATACTCCAAGATAGACAGACTTCCCCTATGGAACAACATCCATACCACAGCCATCAACACAGATGTTCCATGGATTCTAGGGGGAGATTTTAACTGTATTACCTCTGTAGACCATCACAAAGGCAAAAGTTCCCCTTGTCTGACTAGCATTGGAGATTTTGATAACTGTATCCTGAA